TGTTGAACCCGGAGGTGACGCCGGTATTCAAGAAGACACTAGTCTTCATAGTGATTTATCGGCGGCTGTACATCACAAACAAGGCTATGAATCAGCAGGAAGCTGGCGCTTCCGCGAAGCAGAGAACCATAGCGGTAGATCAGACAGCACGAAGGTCGGCAGCAGCAACACTGGGGAAGAGCGAGAAATCAAGCCCAACAACAGCGGCAATACACTTATCAGCTCACAAGGAATTAACGTTGAGAATGGCATCCACGTCGAGACATACACCAATCCGTTTCTGGATGAAGACGAAGAGCAATACATGACAGCTCGGATCAGATCGCCCACTGCGACTACGTATGGCAGTGGAAATGAAAGTGCCGGAAGTGGGAGAGAAATTCCGATTTCGTTCTCGCAGATGCTGAATGGGGAGGGAGACACGAGAGTTAATCGCATGAGTATTAGAGCTGAACAGCCTCTTCCTCCTCCACCTCGAAATCCTGCTCGCAACCCGCCTCGACAGCCACTCTTCAAGACCCCTCTTCCAGTACGAACGCGCAGTGTCGGTCTCAGTCTTGATGTTAACCCCGTGCCTTCAAGCCCTCAATACAGTCCAGCTGAATCAAATGTCATCCGACCAGCTCGAAAGGCAGACATGGCGCTCGAAGCCGAAAGAGCTAAGATGCGAGAACCTCATATGCGAGCGGCCTATCTCCAGCCTTCTCCAAACATGCTCCGGCTTGCAGCCGAAATCGTGCGCAGCAACGGTCTTCCAATCGATTCTGGAAGCCGAGCAGTGCTTGGTCATATCCCATTCTGGGTACTTATCTGCATCTTGCAAGCCTCCCTTCTCAGTATTGCTGCAGCAGTAGCCGTCATCCTCCGAGATGAGAACACTAGTTCAGAAGATATTGCACTTGGAACAGGAACTGTGTTCTGGCTTGTGATAAGCATTGTCATATTTGCCATCTCTGGAGTAGCTGTACTGTTCGTCTGGGCGAGAAAGATGGGGTATTTCTCTAGTTTGGGGAAGAGGTTGGGTATGGAAGAAGTCGGATTGCTCGATCGTGCTATTAAGAATGATATTACGAAGAGAGGTAATGGAGAATTCGATGTCGAGGCGAATAGGGGAAACGTTCTCTCTCCATGGCCAAGACTTTATCCAATGCCACAGAGCCAATCAAGTCTGGCGACTGTCGAGACACCAAGTCTAGAATGGCAAGCCTTGTATCCAACGCCAGAGCAATCAATGAACAGGATCAATGCTGCCAGATATCACCATGAGCAGACACCAAGTCGCCCACATCCTCGAGCACAAGACTTGATGAATGGCGGAACATCACTTCAACGCTTCAACCAGCAATCGCCCATTCAGCCTCTCCAGCCACAACAGGTTCACCTCAAAGGGGCAATTAACTTGCCATTCAACTCTTCTTCCCCTCCTCAGACACCAAACCCTGCGTACTATTTCGCCAACCACTCTGCTCCAGACCACATTCACCACCAAACCGAGCAGCGTCAAGGACCCGATTTCGCAGCCGCAAATGTCCGGTGCGAGGCCTGGTCTCCACTCGAAAACCTCCAACGTGAGCTCAACGATCCCGTCATCCATAATGCTCCCGAACACCAGCGCCATACTATCATCGCCTCGAAGCGTGTTCAATCCGAAGAACGATCCAAGAATCTTCGACAGAGCATGGACCGTAGACCTAGCACTAAGCTCAAGCGTGTGCAAACCCTTGATTCTTCAGAAGAGGAACCGAGCTACCAGACGACAATCTTGGAGGATGAAGGAGAGCGAGCCGGTAGAACGTCTACGCGATATCCAAAGATGTTGATTTTGCAGAAGGAAATGGAGAAGGTCAGGGAGCAAGGCAAGGAGGGAGCGTTGACTAGATCGTACGAGATGAATGATATTGCTGCAAATGGACAGTCGAAGGACGATTCGAAGTTCGATCAATCTGGCTTAGAACTAGATGAACTGAATTCTACGAGTGGGAAGACTTCTTCATCTACTCTAACGGGAAGTTTACTAAACGGGGTCGGCATGAACGGGCATGCGAAGGCGAAGAAAGTTTTCGCTGCTATGAAAGATCATTTTACGGAGCAGCATGGTCGAAGTCTTGGGAGCGTCATCAAGGAGAAGAAAGCAAAGAAGAAAGAGGAGCAGAGTAAGGTGTTTGAGCAGAAGTCAGTATTTAAGGAAGGGGCGAAGAGCTCAGCTAACACCTTTAGCAGGAGAGTAAATGCCGAGCAAGACATTTTCGTGATTGGTGAAGAATAAGGAATAAGTACATGGGAGGTTTGGGGAGATGGTGACGACATCACAATGCTTTGAATGATGGAGTAAGTAATGTCAATGATACAAGTAGCATAGAGGTATTCGCGCTGTAAAGGTACACACTCGCGAGCGACAGTACATGCAATTCTCAATCCTTTTCACACGTTCTCTGTAGATAATGACTATCGAACTCGATTGATCCCAAACATTGCGCTGCATTGAAGAGGCTGACTGTGCCCTTGAATATCTTCGATCTTTCACAGGAGATACTCTACCACACCAGTCTATTATCATCGAGCAACCGGAGAGAAATTTTGTGGAGCTAGGGATAGACGGATATGCAAATCTTATAGGATCAGGTTTCGGAGCGGATCAGCAAATGCAAGATTTGAAGGAGCAAGACCTCGAGCTATATTCTGTAGTTGATTTGGCTGTTCGGAAGTGGACTGCTCGGAGAGCATGAAAGGCGAGAGGAGGTTAAGCTATCGAGTAAGTAGATGGTTTTTTGTAATTACTGCAAAGTGATATGTTCTCGTGGGAGCTCTGGGAGTTGTTACTCTGGTGCTCGCTATTGTGACAGCATTGCGTTGGTCGGAAACGGGGTAATTGATTGCCAACAACCCAACAATGATTATTGAAGTCTTCCTATTGTTAGTCCATATTTATGCGCACAATATATGAATCATGAAGAGACGATGGCAGTTCGATACAGTGCTAGAAAGGCGCGAATTTTGAATAGTCTTCTGCGAGGCTCAGAGCTTCCTAAAGAATTTTAGAAAATTAAAATAGAGCTCGAAAGGAAGCAATAAACATGACAGAAATATCGCCTCCTGAATGAGAAGACTAGACGATAATCTTACCATTGAGAGCACTATGAAGTAGAATCTCAAAAGCCCGGAACGGTGAGACAGCTGCAATGGGTATCTTGTAATAACAGTAAGACCTTTACAGATTCTCCTCGAGAGATTCTATGCATCAAAGAGTACGATCTTGTCTCTTCCTATTCTCTCGTTGCCGCTTCTCCTTGGCCACTGCTCGCCGCCTTGCTTTCCATGATCGGTCAACGTTTCCCCTGTTCTCCCAGAACCATTTCTGAAATTCGCTCTCTGGTTCACCTTCTTTATCGTCATTTACCTCAGATGTATCGTTCTTCCGTATAGGTGAGCTTGCTGCGGCTTCTTCATCGGCCTCATCATCATTGTCTGCGGGCCAAACGAACCTCTTATTTGGGTGTGCAGTGTCCGGTGTTGGTGCCGCACTACGGATTCCTCTGTATTCGAAATCTTTCTGTGTGAATGGTGTGAGAGGGACTTGGTTGTAGGAATCTTCTTGAATCTCTTCTTCGTCTCCATCTGCATCAAAGAAGCTGAAGGATGGAACAGCTACCTTGATAGAGCTTTCTCCCCCTACCTTTGGTCGTTTGTAGAGCGCTTCTAGTGGATGCATTGAGGTATTGATTGGAGTAGAATCATTCGAATTTGGAATCTTGATACTCAATGCGGGGCCAATTGACGAATGAGATCGATTGGTAACTGCGGATTGAGGTTCTTCGACTTCAGATTCGTCTTCAGAAGACTCTGAAGATTTGGAAGCAGATGATGAGGAATTGGATGAGTGAAGGGTATCTTTTACAACCTGATCGGTCTCTGAATCGTCCGATTCTTCCTCGGATGAGCTATCTTCGTCTGAGCTATCCACAGCTGTGCCTTGCTTTGGCTGCTCTGGATCTGGCAGAGCTGGCCCACCTTCCATCCGATCTGCTTCGTTCTCTAGCATACTTTCATCATCTCCGCTCTCCTCAGATCCACTACTGCTCGAATTGGCTGGAGGCTCCGGCGTTGGGTTTGTATTCTTGCGCTTCTTTGTGACTACTTCCTCGACCAGACTTCCATCTTCATCCACCCACCCCTTGCCTTCGACATATTCTGCGACATCCTTGGTCTTATTTGACCCGCTACTCCCGCGTAGGAATGTTGCATATTTCGTGGCCTTAGCGAATTCATGGACAACAGTTCCCTTTCCTACTTTTTTCTTCTTCTTCTCGTCAGCTTTCACTGCAGTATTTTTGGTTTTCGATGCGACATTCGGTGGGAGATTCGTTTTGAAAAGGCACTCTGGACCAGTCGTGTATTTTGATTTGTTGACAGCTTTCTTATCTTTAATTTTCGCGACCTCTTTCCCAGGCGTAGTCCATCCTCGTTTCACCTGCCTCTCTCCAATGTCAACTCCTGGTATCTCGTCTCTCTTGCGCTTTCTCCGTTCTTTTTTTGGTCGCTCTGGTTCATCGGGCTCCACCACAGCTTCCTTCTCTGGTCTCGCTTTCTCGATCCGTACCTTCGTACCTTTCAAGATCGATCCGTTGAGCTTCTTTTTTATCTTCTCGGCGTCCATCGTGGGCAGCTCTACATAGCCGTAGCCTTTTTCTGGAAATGTCTGGATGCTGTGATAGGAGATATTGCGAGCATTCGGCAAAACTGAAGCTGGCAGGAAAGTGTTGAGAAGAGCAGGCGTAAATGGTGTAATGTGAAGGCGAGTGTATTCTTCGTCTGCCATATTAGATTATTCTCATAGGAGCTTGTTCCAACTTTGAGTTCGCTGAGTAGACTTTTTGGAGGTTCTCGGCTAAACGGTCTCGCTTGACTTTAGCCTAGCCAATTTTCTTCCCTATCAAACCATTTTCTAACTAAAGGTCGTATAGTATTAAATAAGCAAACATTTGCAAAATACAAAACAACTAGGGCGCTTGGTCTAGGGGTATGATTTTCGTTTCGCATACTACTTTAGTATTCTATGAAAGGTCGTGGGTTCAATTCCCACAGCGTGTAAGTCAATTTCTCCGCAAGCATTCAAACCAGGTATACTGACAGCAATTCAGCCATTGATACTCATTCGAGTACGCTTTTGCAACTTTTTGGCGCCTATCTTTCGAATGTGAGACATGATCTCTTAAAAGTGACTTTTGCTATTGTATAAGTTCTGATATTTTTTTTTTTCCTTTTAACGTGCTGTATTAGTTCAAAACTATGTAGCACGAGCCCGAAGGCCACGGTACTGTGTATATACAAGGAGAAACTAGCAAAACTCCTTTTTGCCTTGATTATTCGATCCC